TAGCTCCACCGATCGAGCTTATGTTTCATCCGCCACGTATTAAATAAATATGTTTACACAACAACAGCCTTTCACATGTTACGATCCAAGTCTTATAAAGTTTCTCTTTGTCAATGAAAAAAAAAAAAGAATTTTGTACTGTTATCTGCGAGTATAGAATCGTTGAGTCGGAGAAAAGAGAAAATAAAGTAAAGATCAAGAATATTGACAAAATTAATATTGACATCTCTGAAAAGAGAGAAAGACAGCGCGAGCAAAGTCTTATTGTTAATAACTCATATCGTTTCAATGGAAAACCGGATGCAGCCTTTTAATATAACGCAGCGTGCGCCAATTTTATAGTTAAGAATATTAAAGTTTGAGTGGCTGTGTGCACGATCTATGTAATGCAAACGACACTTGAACGTCAGGTTACCTTTGCTTCTCGAAGTTTTTTCAATTCAAAATCCTCACTGGTGGTTACGTTTAATTTAATGCAACGAAAGAAAAAATCGATCGCACGGAAAAAGACGTCATTATCGTCCTCGATCGCGCATCTTTTTAGTCCAGCTTTCTTCCTAACCTAAATCTACTAAACCTTTTACACATTTGCTTCGCTTGAACGTTTCCAGAAAGTTTCTCGAAAATAAACACAGATCATCCGAAACGAAATGTTTCGCAGATAATAAAACCATGTCCCGTCGGACATTGACGATTTCGTTATCATTAAACTAAACGGAAATTACACAGATTATGGAGGCCCACGGTTTGACAATGCAAGAACGTTTTCACGCGTTTCACAGACATCTCTATGTATGTATGTATATGTGCATAAACATAAAATAAAGTTATACATATGTTATTTACAATGTAACACTTTGCGCGAGTGAAAAGTTGCTTTCAGTAGAAATTCAGTCACAGCTGCGACATCGTTGTAAATCAAATGGCAAGACAATACAAAAAAATAAGTTTTAGACATAACCTAAACTTGTACATTGACGAAGTTTGAAGGAGATATCTCATCGAATTTACAAACGACATTTTGATGCGAGAAATGAATAGGAACAGGCGAAATAAAAAAGAAAAAAGTGAAACGACATCTGTGTGACCTTTACAGCCGTGGATATTCTCTTCTCTTCGAGAGACGTAAAAATTTAACCGACACAGAACGATACGCCCGTAAGGATTATAGTTATCACCGATTCGATATGGCCGAAAATTTGAACTT